TTAATATATAATGCATAATTAAGACTCAGGAATGTGGGTATGTGATCTGGAAAGGAACGTCATGAAATTTAGATATCAATTTACATGCCGTCAAGGATTGTGGAGGATTTCATTACTAGTCTTTGTTTCAGTGATTTAAATGAACTAGTATGAGAGTGTGGTTTGGGATTTCTAGTATAATGTCCTCAGTTCATAATTCTGATAATCATTATACCATGCTATGGATGTTAATTGATGAACTGTTTTAATTTCTGTTTTGTCAATTGGATGGATATGGATAATTTAAATTGTTTATCAGTACTCTAACAGTTTAAAAGGAGTTTTTATGATTATAATCATATACTGGGTGCATGATAAGATTTTATTAATATCTGATTTTTATTATGTTGGTTTCTAGATTTATTTGATGTTCATTTGAGTATGCATCATTATTGGATCATATGCATTATATACACCGGTATGGGACGGTGGCATTTCAGAGATGAATTAGATCAAAAAGCTAAATCCTACCTCTTCATACATACGGAATGGATTAACTAAAACAGTAAAATCTTACATAAATGCATGTCCTGTCAACTAAAACAGTTGAACGACATAATGGATATTTATTTTATCTTTCTGCATTCGGAAGGAATTTATATATATACTTATAGTATCGTGATACAAGTTTGAGTCTCCTAATCACGGTTAGGGTACGTATATCGCAAAAGTTGAGTAGCTAAATATAGCTGATGTTCCCTGGTAGGTCTAGGTACTTGGTGTGATACCCCCGAATTTTCGGATGCGGGTTGGCCAGGCCTACGCCCGACTACCCGAGGATATCAAACAAATTAGCAATAATCGAACACAGAATATAATTAAGATAAACATGAGTAAATAAAATTCACTGGAAAGAAACTAAATGAAAATCCTTTATTGAAAATTTCAGCATAAATCTTATAAATAAGAACTAGTCTGTTACATCCAACTTCTCCAATTATAATACAACTCGGGAATCCATTTGGTGGATCCCTAATCAAAAGCCAATACTGGAAAGCGAACAACTAAAAAGAAGTCCACTGCTAAACCATGAAGAACCTCCTACATCGTCGGTAGAATGAGTAGTCGTCTTTGCTCAGCACGAACAAGCTTTAAGACCTGGAACCATCCGTTACCTGAAAAATAATAGTGGGTCAGGCCCACGAACAAGTTCTATCCTAATTACAATCCAAACAGAGACCCGATACGCAAATACATCCTAAACGTCTCAATCATATCTATATAGTCCGTAATAGATAAATATATATCCACACTACAGGACTCTCACTAACTATGCTGAGGGTCTCAACCTGAATAGAAGGTAACATGCAATACGCACCTGAGTGGGCATGACTACCTAAGCCTAACAGGGTATACCTCAACCAACATAGCTAGCTACGCATCCTACTGCATATACGCTCCCTAACCGTCGACTATGAGACTCAAGCTCAAATCGCGGTACCATAATTTATATATAAATTCCCATCCAAACCAATGTAGTGCCGCTCAACTGATTCGTTGCCATGACACGACATAACATTAGGATTTAAATGTTTTAATTAAATCCCTACTCCAATTATATATATAAGTTCCTTCCAAATACAATGTTGTGCTGGTCAATAGTTCATTGGTCAAGACACAACATATAATCAGGATTTAAATGTTTTAGTTAAAACCCTATCCATCCTAACGCAGAAATATAAACAACCATCCAGTATGTCGTTCAACTGTTTTAGTTGACAGGACATGAAGCCATGTAGGATTTAACTGTTTTAGTTAATTCATTCCGTATGTATGAATGGGTAGGAATTAGCGTTGTGACCTAATCTACCCCTCCATATGCCACCGTCCCATACCGGTGCATATATGTAAATGATCCGTAAATGATGCAACATTATAAGTAGTACATCAAATAAGTCCACAGTATCCATATAGTTGATAAACACAAAATTTAAACAAGTCATCAACTAAAAATTCAGAATCCATCCATGTAATTAAACCAGATAAAGTTTACTAATTCGTCAAGTTAAAATCCAAAATCCGTCCATGTAATTAACGACACAAAATTTAATGTTTCATCAAGTTAAAATCTAGAATCCATCCATATAATTAAACAAGACTAAGTTTACTAATTCGTCAAGTTAAAAATCCAAAATTCGTCCATGTAATTAACGAGACAAAGTTAATAGTTCATCTAGTTAAAATCTAGAATCCATCTATGAAGTTGATAACTTAATTTATTTAACTTAAATTTCAACTAACTTAAACACAGTCAGGCAGTTGACAACATTAGCAATTAGTAAAGTGTCAATTATGTCAAAGAATGATTTAATATCATTCCGGTAACCCACAAAGCATATCATATTCAATTATATTTATTATATATAAGAACAACCATACAAATCCTTTTAACTTGCTAACATCACAATAGACAGTTAAATATTCCCTATCCGTTTACAATCAGTGATTAAATCATCCAAAAATTCAGGGACTGATATATTACAATTCAGATAACCAACAAAGTATATTATATCCATTTATCTTAAAGTATAATCATACCAACTCTTACTACTTGCTAGAACAGCAACATACCGTCAAATCCTTCCCTTCCATGGACAACATACAATTAAACCATTAAATTTTCTGAAATCAATTAAGTTTAATTGCAGAGACTAACCATCCTGGAACCATAATAGCTTATTTAAAAATTGTTTAGAAGCCCATTTACACCTTTAGAATCACCCCACAACCCCTGAAGTTAAAAAAAAAAACGCAAAACTACACATACTGTGTAGTGTTTTGCATAGAGCCGGCTCTCCCACAAGAGGGAGCCGGCTCTCCCTAGCCTAGAACCGGCTCTCCCACAAGAGGGAGCCGGCTCTCCTTGCCCCAGAGTCGGCTCTCTCCTTTGGAGAGCCGGCTCTCACTCATTTGAGAGCCGTCTGCACTTCTGCAACTTCTACGGCCTTTTGCCTCGTCTCCGGTCGCTTCCACCTCTTATGTTCTTCTTCTATACTGAACTTAGGAGTCTTATCTAATCCCAGTATCATCCCTATGGTTTGTTTACAGTGATTAGAAGCAATTACAATAACTAATAACAATACCAATTTAGCATGCTTAAAGAAATGAACTGAACTAAACATGCACTAACTGTAATAGAATTTAATTCAACACTTACAGATCATCAATATAACATATTGTAAACATATAAATCCCAGTTACTGATTAATTAAACCCTAGAGACAGTCTAAGGATGCACAGAACACAGGTAACGGAAGAGAGAAAGGAAAGAACTTGCCTCTTAAGGTTTCAGTTTGAAACCTTTAACCATCCTCTGTCTAGACTTTTCGGCAACCCCTTGAGTGTCGTCCACTCCTTTGTTGCCCTAGGTTCAACCCACGAGCAGCACTCCTTTTTCCTCTCCTTGATTCAGCTTTGGTTCATAGCCGAAATCCTAACTAAACTCTCTCTATTTCTCACAATTCCCTCTCTGTTTCTCTATGTCTCTGTACGCGAACAGAGTTCTCCAAACCCCTTTGTAAACTTATAACAGTATATATATAGACAAATATAAACCCTAAGTCTACATGTAATGAAAACCGAAAGCCCAACTAAAACCCTAGTCGGCCAAAACGTGATCCATAAAACTAAAACCCTAATTTAATATTAAAATTATAAATACTAATGTAACCAAATTAATTCCATTAAATAAACCAGTAAACCATTTAAAACAATTAAAACAAGTAGTTCAATTAAAAGAAATAAAATACACTTAAATAACATCATTAAACAAACCACACAATTTAAATACAATAATTAAAACAAATACAAACAATAAAAAAAAAAAAAATTCATTTAAGTAAAACAAAATAAACCATTATTCAATAAACAATTTGACACATAGAAACAAATTTAAATTCCAATCTTATCCTTTTGAAAACTAGGGTTATTACACTTGGCCGCTGGAAAGCGCGTTTTATATGTCACCTTCTACCCAGTCTGAACTATGTTATAGGCTAGTGAGCATCCTATAGTGTGTATATATATATATGGACCTTTTTAGATATTGCCGAGCTATCTAAGATATATCTGCGTATCGGGTTTATATACGGATTGTAGTAGGATGGAACTTGCATGTGGGCCTGACCCACCTTTATTTTTCAGGTGTTTGTGAGTACCAGGCTTAGGGCTTGATCATGGTGATGCAGATACAGTCACTCACTCTTCCGACTACATAGGATTTCCTTTCTTATTCTAGTTTTGGATTTTAGTTTTGTAAATTTATTTATAGTATGGGATTATTAGGGGTCCACTAGTTGGATTCCCGAGTTATACAGATTTGGAGGATTTAAATGATATTAATTTATTATTTAAAGTTTAAGGATTTTTATTTTAGATTTCTTTCAGCGCATTATTATTTTATTCTTAATTTAGTTTTTATTCTTACTTGTTTACATATTGATTGTCTAACATCCCTCGGATTTGTGCTCTGACTTGATCACCCGTGACTCTAGAATCGAGGGGTATCACAAATATTGTATTGTTTACAATATTCATACATACTAAATAATTTAATCAACAAAAAATTTAATTATTTATTTCAAAATAAAATATTATACAATAAATATTTCATTATATAACCTTCATAACAATTTAAAAATAAATAAATGCAATATAAATTAAATATTTTCTTCACCAAAGCGATTCCACAAATTTTTAATTAAATCTTTCCTCAACCACGTATTATCTTTTTATTGTGAATTTAGACTTAGAGAGAGTAGATGTGTGCCGTTAAGACCGATAGATTTTGAATTAAAGTGGGAATCGAGATTGTCTCCTCCGGTGGCAGAGTTCATTTCTAACATAAGCATGGCACTCATCTTCAATGATCATGTTTTGAAAAATGATGCACGTTTTCATTATAAAGCACAAGTCCCTTTTATCCCAAAAACGCACTAGTCGTTACGTTATTGCCATTTGATCTATAAGACCCCAAAAGCTCGTTCCACATCTTTCCTGTAGGCCTCTTGTATATGGGCAAAAAGCTTTTCTTTTACTGTAGTTGGGTGCGGGATGGTCTGCATCAAAGTTGCCCACTTTGGATATATACTATCAGATAGGTAATACCCCATTCTATGGTAATGGCCATTCACAAAGAAATTAACCCGAGGAATTTGGCCAGTGACGATGCTGTCGAATAACGGAGAATGATCCTGCACATTAATATCATTATGTGAACCCGACATTTGAAAGAATGCATGCCAGATCCACAAATCTTTTGAGGCAACCGCCTCTAATATGAACATATGCGTATGAGAGCTTCCTTTGTGCGTGCCATGCCACGACACCGGACAATTCTTCCACTCCCAGTGCATACAGTCGATATAACTAAACATACTTGGGAATTTTCTCTCTTCCTTTCCTCGAAGTAGCGATGCTACGTCGGCTTCGTTGGGTGAGTGCATGTACTCTTCCCCACACACAACAACAACAACAACCTTACAAATTGTCATCAGGGTTTCAATGGCAGTGTTCCCGCCGATTTTAATATACTCATCACAATGATCGGCTGCACAACCATATACGAGTATACATATTGTAGTTATCATCTTCTATATAGAAGAAGAAACCCCAAATGACCTGTTGCATCCTTTTTTTGGTTAAAGTAATTGTCACAAGCCTTAACAACATTCAGGATACGAAGAAATAGTTCTCGTCGCATCCTGAATCGTCTGTGAAAATCCTCTGGTGGATATGTGTAATTATCGCCAAATTAGTCTTTCATTAGTTGACGGTGGCTTCCCTCTCGATCACAATGAATGTACCGCCTCCTATTTGGTTTAAAGACTTGCTCTATTATCTCTGGGTTCATTGAATTCAAAATCGAACTAAAGGCGTGTAGATTATGTTGAATTAACATGTCAATAGGGTTATCTGATTGTAATACCCTTAATTTTAGGAATGATAGTTTTGGTATTTTAATTAATAATTTTAGATTTTATTGCATTTTTATTGAATTATGTGCTTATTTGCTTAATTGATTAATTGTGTATTTATTTAAATTAATTGTTTATTTGTTTTACTTTAATTGTTTAATTGTGATTTAATTTACGTATTTGATTAATTGGTGTTTTAAATGACGTGTGTTTTAAATGGCTGACATGTGTTTTAAATGGCTTGTATGACTTAAATGGTTTATAATTTGTATGTGTCGTATATAGTTTAAGTTTAGGATTTTACTTTATGAAGTTGTGGTAGCCAACGTATAATTTTGGTTAGAATTAGAAGTAGGGTTATTACAAGCCTATATATATAGAACAGTATACGTCTGCTAAGGTTGAAAACCCTATTCATGTAATAGTTCTTGCGAGGAAAAACAGAGGCACGTAATAGAGTCTTGAAAGGAAAATTAGAGGGGAGCTTGAGAGGAAACTGTGAGAACCATCAGTTAGGATTTCAGCCATGGACTGAAGGTCGTACCAAGGAGGAAGAAATGGATGGCTTGTGGGATTGAAACCGAGCAGTAAGGGGTTTACCGGTAGTCGACAGTCGTCGGAGAATTTAGAGATGACGTTGAAAGGTTTCAAATCGAAACCTAAAGGCAAGTTTCATTATATCTCCTTCCTGTAAACTTGTATTCTGTGCATTCTATATAGTCTCCAGGAATCTAATTTAATTTTAAAATGGATATTTATGCATGATAGATAGGCTTTAAACTATTTTACGTTTTTGTAATTGAAATTGCTTTTCTTGCATAAACTGTTTCGATTAGGTTTTAAATTTTTGTAAATTAATTCATAATGGAATGTGAGGAGTTTCTAGGACTGTTTGGATGTAAATTGGACCCTAAGAAGTTTAAAAACAATTGGGACAGAGAGTTGGAACTTCGCCGGAAGCAAAGAAGACAAAGGACGAAGCAGAGACGGGCTCTCAGGGAAAAAGCCGGCTCCCTAAGGGAGGGAGCCGGCTCCCTAGGTAAAAAATCTGGCTCTCCATGAGGGAGAGCCGGCTCTGGAAGCATGAGAGCCGGCTCCTATGAAGGGGGAGCCGGTTCCCTTAATGGTGCACCTTTACGGGGTGTTTTTTTGAGGTTTTTCTGGTTCCAGGGGTTTAAAGGTAATTTTTGAAAATTAATGGGAGGTTTTAAATGTTTAAAATTAACCTGTTAAAACCTTAAAACAGTTAGTTTATGATAGTGTGCTAATATTAAGGGACATCATGAAATATAAAAAATATAATATGCATGCTATCAAGGAAGGAGGAAGATTTAATTGCTAGTTTGTTTTAGCAACTTAAACGGACTGGTATGGAAATTACTTTTGGGATGTTATATAAATGATATATATAATTTAATGAAGGCCAGAAATGTTGGTCTAGGATATGGTTATAGACATTATGAACTTTAGATACTAAATTTGCATGCTGTCAAGAGTTGTAGGAATTTTAGTTGCTAGTTTTGTTTTAGCGAACTAAATGGACTAGTATGAGAATACGTTTGGGGTTTCATATAATGTACTTAGTGTAGACTTCTCAGTATCATTATGTATGGCACAGGATTTATAGTTGAGGATTAAAGGGATGTCATGAAATTTAAATATTAATTAGCATGCCGTCAAGGATTGTGTAGATTTTAATTGCTAGTTTTATTTTAGCAAATGAACTGGACTAGTATGAGAATACTTTTGGAATTTATATAATGTGCTCAGTGTATACTTCTGATTATCATTATATTGTGCTATGGATGTTAATTGATGAACTGTTATAAATTCTGTTCAGTAAATTATATGGATGTGGATAGTTTAAATTGTATATTATTACTCCAGCAATTTAAAAGGAGGTTCTATGGTTATAATCATAGACTGGATGCATAATAGGATCTTATCTATAGTTGATTTCTATTATGTTTGGCTCTGGATGTATTTGATGTTCAAATATGTGTGCATCATTTATGGATCATATGCATAATATGCACTGGTATGGGACGGTGGCATATTAGGAATGGATTAGATCAAAAAGTTAAGTCCTACCTATTCATATATATGAAATGGATTAACTAAAACAGTTAAATCCTACATGGATGCATGTCCTATCAACTAAAACAGTTGAACGACATATCGGATGGTTGTTTTATTTTTCTGTATTAGGAAGGATTTATATATATACTTATGATACCGTGATATGAGCTTGAGTTTTAGGATCATGGTTAGGGTGCATATATCGCAAATGATGAGTAACTAGATATTGCTGATATTCCCTGATAGGTCTAGGGCACATGCACACCGTAATGTGTGATTTACATGTTACCTTCTATTCAGGCTGAACTACACTATAGGCTAGTAAGCGTCATATAGTGTTTATCTATATCTATATGGACTATTTTAGTTATTGTCGAGCTATCTAGGATGTATCTGCGTATCGGGTTTATGTATGGATTGTTGTAGGATGAAACTTGCATGTGGGCCTGACCCACTCTTATTTTTTAGATGTTCGTCAGTACCAAGCTTAGAGCTTGATCGTGATGAAGCAGATACAGTCACTCACTTTTCTGACTACATAAGATTTCATTTCTTATTTTAGTTTTGGATTTTGGTTCTGTAATTTATTGTTCATTTGAGATTATTAGGGGTCTACTGGATGGATTTCCGAGTTGTACGGATTGGAAGATTAAATTATATAAATCTATAATGTTTTGGAGGATTTTCGTATTTAGAATTATTTTCAGCTTATTATTTTATTTTTAATTCTTTTGTATTCTTGCTTGATTACATATTAATTATTTGTAATCCCTCGGATCTTTGCTCGGATTTGATCACCCGTGGCTTTAGAATCGAGGGGTATCACACTGATGAAGAGGATGAAGAATTAGAGCCTAACAAAGGAAAAATCGTGATGAAAAAGACATTGGAATTTTGAGATTGAAGGAAATGTGAATTGATATTTTGCTAGAATAATAAAGATGAATGTAATGATGATGAGATGAATAAATAATTGTTTATATAAAATGAAAAATATAGCCGTTAGGAAAAAGTTAAGAAAAAAATAATTTATTAAAATTTAAATAATATTAAAATATTAATATTTTTTAAGAGCAAAAACGCACCACATTCGATAACTAAAATTTGGAAACTCCAAAACGCTAATATAGCTCCTAAAAATGCTAACGTGACTATTAGAAAACACTAACGTAGCAAATTCAAAGTGCCTAATTGTAGAGATGTTGTTGCAGTTGCTCTTAGGCCACATAATAAGTAAAGTTTTATTCTTTTAACTAATGTGTGTTAAAACCTATTTCAAATTTGAAATATTATTAAAAGGAGACTAAAATGGATAAAAATACTTCTTTGCACTTTAAATATTTCCTTATCTGTGTTATAAATCAAGAGTAATACTTTATTTTAGTAATTTCTATCCTACCGTGTTAGTATGTAATAAATTGGTTATATAATAAACTGGTTATATCATCTCATCAATACAATGGACAAAATTAAAATTTTCTTCTCTAAATGGAACCATTTGAACCAAAATCGACACCTGATTCATGGCCATATGTTATTTTACTCCATAGGTGTGTATCACTGTGTGTATTATACACAAAAATATTAAATATATATACATATTTCGTTTCTAATGGTGGCTGCTAATTTTACTAGAAAAACGCTTGTCAATGCTCTCCTCTGAATCAAATTGAATACTGAAGAAACAAGACAAGAAACAAAACCTTGCCCTAACCACAAACATTTCATTTGTTCACCCACCACATTCATTGGAAAGTGTTTCAGAGTCGATCTTTTGTGATACAGAAATCTGAGTAAAAGGTTGGTGAAATCCAGTGATTTGAGAGAATTTTGTTCCTTCTTTTTATATGTTTGTTGGCTTGTTGCTTTTGGTCTGTTAGTTGATTTCAAGGGAGAAGTGTAGCTATACGGCCATGAATCGGTTGCATTTTACTTGTTCAAAGGTTGGGGGAAATTTTTTTTTTTTTTTTGCCTAGTTTTGGCCCTTCTTAGAAATTTTGGTTAATAGCCAAAATTAGAGAGAGAGAGAGAGAGAGAGAGAGAGAGGCGGTGGATTTTCAAATGGATTTCTTGAGACCCGATTAAAAATGGATTCAATCCACTTTAGTCCATTTTTAATAATATTTTTGCACTCATTCTTTGGAAACCTTGTTTGTGAATGCTGTACGCTCTATCAAGTGTCCGAATTCACTATAAATCTATTAACATGGTCATTTCTCTCTCATATCACAATCTTGTGGACCTTTCTTACATTTATGTTAAATTTTATGTGACAACCAAAATATTTGAACATTTTGAATCTACCAAGAAAAAGAAAAAAGAAACAAATTATAAAACATTTGGAGTTTCCATTTTTTCTTCTAACTCATCTCATGTGGTATGTTTTCGTTGAAAGTTGAATTTCACAATTATAAATGTCTAATTGCCGGTTTGTTTTTTAAGACACGGTTGGCATTCTTTTTTCTCAATCTCAAATGTGAAGAAGATTTGTGTTCTTCAAAATATTTGACGGCTTGCTTAATTTGTAATTATGTAAAAAAATTCTATTTAATTCAGTTTTCTCTTAAAACTTAATTATAAAAATCTCTTGACCTAGTTAGTTTGTAACTCTAATAGTTTTTTGTTTTCAGAAAAATAAAAATATAAAATTATATAAAAAAAAATCGCTTACTTCAATTTTCTAAAAATTGTTTTAAGATAATTATAAAAAATTGTTCTCTAAGAACAGTTTCTTCAAAAGTTAAATACTCTTCAACTAGCCAAACATTGCGCTCATCCTCCAAAGTCAAATAATTTTTTAAAAGCCAATCCAAATAGACATGCATTTTTTGCCCTGAATAAACATGCATTTATGATAGAACAAAATTACCATGAATCTATCACACATCAAGCATGAACTTCATGAATGAAATATTTTTCACGTTGTTGATGTCTACAAGATGAGTTATATAACAAACTTAATTCTGTTATAATAAGTCCAATCAACAATAATATCTGTGTTTTTTTTTTTTTTTCAACATCAACCTATATCTAATGATATGAGAAAATGAAATCTGGGAGGAAATTAAGGTAAACTGGTGGTGTTTGGGTGGGCTTTCTGTCCTCTAAACTCCTTCAATAAGAAGTCATTCCTTGAAGGCATTTTTTGTTAAATGGAATTCAAAATAAGAAAAATGTTTGGGAGTAAATTTTATTGAAATCCTTTAACATTTACCAATATTACCCTAATTCATATAACTAATTCATATATATATATATATATATAACTCATCCACCCAACTTTCCATCTTCAAGTACTGCACACCAATTATATAAATGAACGTGTTTACAGCATTTGTTGCATCTTCAAATACGTAATAACGAACGGCACGTCTGCACCATATATATATATATATATATATATATATATATATAGACATATACATATATATATTTATTAGCAAAAGACTAGTTTTAATTTTTGGGTTTTGTTGTTACTAGAAGAAGGTAACACTGTGTTGAAGGTGGTTCGTGAGTAGAATAAGAAGATCGTTCCACGTAGGTCAAGAATCTTGAGACCAGTATCCAAGTGGAGATCCAAGTGACACAAGGGATTCTTTGAGTACAAAGATTAAGAAAGCGAAGGCCGACCTCAGTACTGTATGACCTCAAGCTTGTCAATAAACAGCTATTAATGTGGTGGTTGTTGTGTCTTAAAAGCTGATTAACACCCTTATTTATAGTGCTTACCTCATCGGTCAATGTCCTTTAGTCCTTCGGGTGAGCCCGCTTTTAACCAAGGGTATGAAGGTCTCTCCTCCTGACGGATGGGACATTGATGGACGGGCCGCGATACTTTGCCCCCCGTCAAAAAGAGGTAATGACGCTCCGTAATTATTACAGGTTTCATCAGACGTCTTTCGCAATTAATGCGCTTTTTATCTCTTCTTGCTCGAGCTTGGAAACCGAGTATCCTTTCCCTCTTGTGTCAGCCTCGGGCCGAGGTGATACCTTGGGATCTCAGCCACCTGTCCACGTGTCCTCAGATCCCCGAACTCCAGAGGGAAAAGCCCCCCTCGAGGTCCTGCCTTCATGATCTCGCAGGGCTTTATCCCAATTCTATATTCCGAGGTCCCCTATAACCGAAAAGGGAAGCTTGTAAGGCAAGTTAGTCGAGGTTGCTCCTTCAGAAAGAAACCTCAAACAAGCAGGGAGGGGGAGGAGCCTATCCGACTGGAGTGGGGCATGTCCACTGTAGAGGAAGGGTAGCGACCCCTTCCTCGACCAGCGAGTTTAGTTATTGAATAGGTAGCTCGAGGATACCTAATCTCATTGTGGGGCATGCCAAATAAGCGCTGGCCAGGTGTGCTTATTTTGCAAAGGTGGCGCAACTTAAGCAGCTATCGTGGCGCAATTATCAACACACTGTAACAGGAGAGGAATGCAAGGAAATATTCAGTAGAAAATTCAATTTTTGATACATATTATCATAGCTGTAGTAGAAAGACTGAAAAAAAAAATTGGGTGGAGGAGCTTTGGTGAGATCTTCTACAATTTTCAATAACAACTTTGGAGGCCGGTCTTCGTGGAGGAGATGGTGGAATAGGGGAGATAACGGTGGCCAGCAACAGCCAATGTGAGGATGACAATGGAACTTGTAATTACATAGGACACCAGGTCAATATGGGTAACATACAGTTAGAGATAGGGATAAAATGGTAGTTTCAAATGTAGCACTAATGATAATTCCTATTTTGCGGGAAGACGTTTCAGAAAGCAACTCTAGGTAGCTTTCATTAAACGGGCTTTCAAAGTTACATAATTTTCAAGAAGCCCATTTCAACCAAAAGGTCATTTTTTTTTTAATGAAAGGACTTCCTATGTTTGGAAGCCTGTTTTGGGGTGCAGGAAGCTCCCCAAACAGTCCCTTATTATCTTAAAGAAAATAGGGATAATTTCATTGACACCCCCTCAGGTTTGGCCAAATATTACACTGAGACAACTTTCGAAAATTACTATCACCCATGCTGCAAATATTTGTTCCATTTTTCACTCACACCCCAACCGTCATATGCAGAGTTCTGACACTATGTAAATTAACTAAAATACCGTTTGACTTTGTCAAAAGAGTTCTTTAATCTACAAAACTAGATTAAAAGACTAAATTATCCCTAAATGCTTTGCAATTTACAATTATATTATATTATATATTATATATTTTATACATATATACATATATATATATATATATATATATATATATATATATGAGAAAGTTATTGTACAAATGTACCCTCATTAACCACTCAACTTCTCTCACGCACATTCTCTTTTCCCTTCACATTGTTTGTAAACCCTCTTAACCACACCGGCGGTGGAGGCGACCCAATTGTGAATTTAGAAAGAAAAAAAACCCAATTAAGATATTCTCTATAACATAAACCAATCAATCACAAACTAATTCAAGAAAAGAAGAAATTGAGACCATTCATTAACAAAATTGAAACCATAGCAAACCTTGATGGTCCAGAACCTATCGTTTGGCCGACGGTGTCCCAAATCTGGGACTTGACTTCTTTGTTGTCGATGCATCTGAAATTCCACTCCGATAGTGGCCTTGGAGTGCATGTTGAACTCGTTCCAAGCGTAACATGACAAAAGATTCGCTTGGACGGCGGTGTCCCAAATCTTGGCCTTGACCTCCTCTCATTGTTTATCTGAATCCACACACACACACACACATATATATATATAACTGTGTGTATGTATATTTAGATAAAGGAGAGGTTGTGGAGATTAGACAGCGAGGCATGACATCGCGAAGAGAGAAAAAGGTGAAGATGTCACCGTCGGGGATCTGATACCAGAGGTCCGAGGTGGCGATGGCGTTGGAGAAGAGATGCCGTTCGATCACAGCCTCTAGGTTTGGTAGTGGCTGGTGGTTGTTTGTGGTTGAGAGAGAGGGAAATTTTGGCTGCTGACTGTGGGGGTTGGGGATGGCGGGGGTCGTAGCGCCGGTGTGGGGGGGTGGTGGTGGCCCCATCGACTGCAATTTTAACGGTGTCAATGTCGATTTGGGTTTGTTTGTGGGAATGATTGTTTCAGATAAAACCTAGTCGGAATCGTTACTGGTTTTCGTCATCTTTGGAGTAGTTCCGTCACTGTCGTCGCCATCGCCGTCGTTGCTGGAAGGCCACCGAGCCTATTTGTATATATATATACCACACATACATTTAAGAGAGAGAAACTATTGGGGGCAATGTTGTATTTTTTAATTTGTTGATATTTTAACTTAAAATGAATCTTAAAATTAAGGGTAGATTTGTCTTTTCACACATTTTTAACGTTGTTAGTGACAAAAAAGTAAAATTGGACCTAAATGATAGTAATTTTCGAGTTGTTTCAAAATAATATTTGGCCAAACATGAGGGAGTGTCAGTGAAATTAACTCTTTGTGTTTCATATAGCTACGGATTTGGATAAATTTTCTACAATTTAGGTGTTTTTCTATATTATTTTTCTATATTTGTTCAGTTTTGTTGCTCTACTTAAACAAATTGTGAAATAATAATAAATTTTTACGGAAATAATAATATTATTTCCGGAATGCTCTTATATTTCTTTTAAAAAATAGAATGCCACGTATTTAGAGCGTGAATTGAAGTATTAGCTTGTTGGGAGCATTGAATTCTTTTGTGTTTTTTTTTTTTTTTTAGGTAAAAGGGTAAGCTAATTCCTTTGTTTTTTTTAATAGCATCTTAACACAATGAAATCACTGTTATTAGCCCTAAAAAAGTGTAGGGGTAACTATCAGTGTACCACAGAATTTAGGCCCATTTTGTTTATTCTTCATGAAAAAAAGTTTATTTTTATCTAATAAATTAATTTCTTTTGACATGACCCAAAAAAAATTATAAAATAAGTTACTTCTTTTGACTGAAAAAAAAAAGTTAACTTTGTTAAATAAATATCCTCTTCAATTGTACCAAAAAAAAAAAAAGTCATTATAGAATAAATTATTTCTTTTGACTATCAAAAATTAAATTATTAGTATGAAATAATTATTTTTTTTGAGAGGATATCTGGGAAAAATAAATAGAAAGGAAAAAAATAGTAAATAAACTAAAGAAGGTAAAAAAAAAATTATATAAAGGATAATTATGACATTAGAAATGAAGGGATAGTACATTAATGAATTCAATGACCTTTTTACCATTTCTTTTAAAAGAAAAAAGTAAATTATATGATTTCTAAAATTTTCAAACTTTAACTACATAATTTCATCCCCAAATCAAAATTCCTAGCTCCACCTGATAAACCCAAACATGTCACTAAATCCAGTGAGCAAAAAAAAATTTCCACTGTAATTTTTGCCTTCAATGTAGCATCGTACTATCAAACTACCTCCACAAGGTCAATTAGTGAATTCATGTTTTTAAAGCTTGAACAGAAAGCTTTCAAGCCGCAAACCACACTCAAGCATGGAATTGTACAAAAAAAATTCCCTTTAAAAAACTGATGCCTAAACCTAGAGATAAAGATCCATTATATAGATCTAAAACCCGACAGACCATCCCTAAATCACGGCCTAAAGATAAATGAAAATCCCTATTAAAGATAGGAGAGAATCTCTTTTACAGAATAGACAAAAAAAAAAAAAAAAAAAAAAAAAAAAAAAAAAAAAAAAAAAACTTTAATAAATGCTGCTTTATTCAAGAAACAAATGCTAGTAGCATCAAAAGCCGTAGAGTGGGCCGGGGGCCTATCAAAACTACCTCCATAAAGTCAATAAGTGAATTCATGTTTTGAGACTAATAGATTATTCCTTGTTTTTCAAAATAAGTGTCTGTTTTTTTTTTTTAATCAGTCTTAAAATAATTATTTATTTTTTCAAAAAATATATTTTACATATATGTCTTTTGAATTTTAAATTTGATAATTCAAAATTTAAAAAAGTAATTACTTTTTAGGTAGACAATAAACGTCCTTTTAAAAATTACTATTTCCCAAAAGTCACACTTTAATTAAAACGGAGGAAGTACTCCATTTACCAAGAAGTTTTTTACTGCAGAATATTTTCATCTTCTCAATCGACATACAATAAATATTAAAAAAAAAAAAAATTGAAGCTAAATTAATGTCTGTTAACAAACTACCTCCAAAAAGCCCAAAACTATCAGGACTCCATATCAACTTTACTTCAATTAGCTAGCTCCATCAGCCTCCTTGGCCTCCTCCTTCCCAAGGAAGACATAAGTGAGGACAGCCTTTGACTTTAAAGAACCCTTCAACAACTTCAACCCCTAAAAAGGGCAAAAAAGAAAAAACAATCAAAGAAAGAATTTTCTTGTTAGTGTTACCCAATCAACCATAAGATACTCAAAATGAGAAAACATTGAATAATTTCTTAATAATAATGATTTCTGACTTCAATTGGTCAGAGTAATGACAGAGCTGTTTTGAATGTTTATATTGCCATTTAAAAGAAGCTAACATTATTTTTTGTACTAGAATAAACCTATTGAAGCAACCAAAGCTCCAGAGTAAGTACGGTTCTCTTGCTTTCTATAAAAAGCTTTAAGAAGGAAAACCAAAAAAACAAAAACCAAAATTGTTCTGAATGAATTATAATCCTCAGGTGCAAAAACTAGTGATCTATTAATATTCATCAATAGCAGTCACTACAGAGAGAATTTCCTTACCTCATCCATGCCAATCTCAACAACCTTCTCTTGAAGCGCATCAAATTCCATAACATTGCACTTATTCAGCATGGAAATGCCAGATATCATAGACATTGGCGTCACAGACAAATCATCCGTCACCATGTAGGTAACTAAGCCCCTCACATAACCCCCCTCGCCAGTTGAAGTAGCATTCTTATTAACTGGACCAACAAATGGCAATTCTGTTGACATGGAGCAGCAACATGAGGGACAGTTTGTACCTGCTTTGTTCGTCACGCACCTGTGATAACAATAATCCAAAGAATTATATTGGCAAGTGTAGAACTTTGTAGCAGCTGAGGATACACGATCGTCAGGCAACAAGAGAGGAACATTGGATACGGAAGTTGGTGGATTGGGTTTCAAGAGCAAGTCCTTATTTTGGTTGGGCTGCATGTAATCTTCATTCAGGTTTTCGATACTTTTGTACAGGTTTCCTATGCTGCCAACCATGGTTTCGTTAGTGAGGAGCCTGATAACTGTTCCAACTGGCAGAGAGAGGAGGTTGAACAGGAAATCAACAAAGTCTTTCCCAGCTTCTGCAAAGAGGACTTTGTGGGCTTTAGCATCAATGAGAAGCTTCAAGCTAACTTTTGTGGCTGCCATAGCTCTCGATCTCTGTCTAGAGAAACATGGTCCAATTCAATCATGAGTGTAAAGTGTAAACCACTCGAAAATTCTAATAAATGTCTCATACAAAAATACATATATGTAATTTGAACAAAATAATCGTCTAACAAAATATTTGGAACAAAATCACCCAAATCATTCAAGTTATAAAGAACTCTACTCTGAAAAATAATTTCTCACTGGATCAACAAGTCTCCTGAGTCTCGGCCTCCTCTGTATATCTCAGCTCTCTCTCTGTCTTCTAACTTTATCTCTCTGAATACTCACCCAATGCACAAAACACTCAATATATAAATGTAATCCACCGACAAAATTAACTCATGCCATCATGCATACAAATACTAAATCAAATGTTTAGGACAATAAATCAATAGTGGATCCCGCCACCACCTTTCTTTATTCTTACTTTTCCTTTATCTTTTTCTTTCTTACTTTCCCTTTACTTCCACGTGCACCACCATCTCACCCATCAAACATTATACATATATTTTAAATTTTTTTCAAATGGGTTCCTTGAGACCGGGTTAAAAACAAATTCAATCCACTTTAGTCTTTTTTTAATACGAGTAATATTTTAAATTTAATATAGCCGTCAACATTTGCTATGGCCATATAAGCACGAGGATCCATTTCCCTCCTCCTAGGGTTATTAGGTAGGAGTTAAAAAGTTTAGGGATGAAAACCTTGTCATTAGTGATATTTACACAAAAAATTTGTAATGAATAGCCTAACTGAATTATTTTTGATTAGTTATTTATACTAAGTAGAGGACCGTACTCCCTTATTTGTTACATAACTAATCAATTAAAAATAATAGATCTAACAATTTATTACAATTATTCTATATAAGAATCATTTTTCAAAGAACCCTTAATAAAGTTTAGGGCCCATACCGATTGGTTTGCTTATGAAGATACAGTTTCATGAAAGAAAGTTTTACAAACAGCTAAAAAAAACTTTTTTGCACTTATTCTTTGAAAACCTTGTTTCTGAAATTGAGTTACAAAATGGGCGGTTTTGGAGTAGAACGAGAAAAAGTTCATTTTATTATAAGGAGGGGGAACTTGAACACCGACACACCCACTCGGAGAGCTGGATGCTCTATCAAATGTCCGAATTCACTAAATCTATTCACACAGTCATTTCTTTCTCATATCATAGTCTTGTGGACCTTTCTTACAACCAAAATATTAGAACATTTTGACTCTATCAAGAAAAAGAAGAAAAAAAAAAAATTATAGAACATTTGGGGTTTCCATTTTTTCTTCTAACTCATCTCATGTTGTATGTCTTCGCTGAAATTTGAATCTCACAACTATAAATATGAAGAGGATCCGTGTTTTTTAAGAAAGTAGTTTTGGAAAAGTTTAGGGCTTGTTCTTGTTCTCATAAAATTAAAAATAGAAAACTATAAAAAAAAAAAAAAAAAAAAAAAAAAAAAAAAAAAAATTCAGTTTGGTTCAATTTTCCAAAAACTCAATTATAAAAATGTGTGTTTTCAGATAAATATAAAAGATTTGTTCTCTAAGAACAGTTTTCTGTTTTTTAAATTCATGAGAACTATTTCAGAATTACAAATCAAGAATATCAATTTCTCTAAAAATGCTCTTAAAAGAGTTAAATACTCTTTAACCAGCTAAACGCTGCTCATCCTCCAAAGTAAAAGTAACATTGAAAAAGTCAATTCAAATAGACATGCATTTATGATAAAACAAAATTACACACATCAATGAATGGAATTTTTTTCTCACCCTAAACCCTATTTCTTAAAAATAAAAAATAAAAAAAAATAAACCTACTATTAGAAAGACTCAAGGAGAGTAGACACAATGGAGGAGCTCCAACAGCTATTTCAACAAGGCTGTGTTGTGCTGGAAGATTTCCAACAGATATAGATATCCCACCAAGGTTGTGATGATGTTTCCCTTGGACTGCCAGTTCCTTTTGTTATTGCAGCCCAGCTATCAGCTGAAGGTGGACACTTTGCATATGGTCCGTTTATAGTTTATGGTTGCTGATTATGTCTCTGCTAATTTCTGGCTTTGAGTTCAAGTACTCAAGGTTTACAAGTTGATTTCTGTTTCATTGTTTCATTGTGTGGCAATGGCTTCTGTCTTTGCCCTTTTGTTATTGTAAAAGCTCCTGTAGCTCTGTGGTCTTTGTTGTACAGTTCTTATTTATTTATAAAAGCTTACCCATTCAAAAAAAAAAAAAAAAAAAAAAACTGCTCAGCCTCCAAAGTCAAAAACAACATTGGAAAAGTCAATCCAAATTATAAACGGATTGACGAAAAAGAAGAAAAAAAAAAATTATAGAACATTTGGGGTTTCCATTTTTTCTTCTAACTCATCTCATGTTGTATGTCTTCGCTGAAATTTGAATCTCACAACTATAAATATGAAGAGGATCCGTGTTTTTTAAGAAAGTAGTTTTGGAAAAGTTTAGGGCTTGTTCTTGTTCTCATAAAATTAAAATAAAAAACTATAAAAAAGAAAAATTTCAGTTTGGTTCAATTTTCCAAAAACTCAATTATAAAAATGTGTGTTTTCAGATAAATATAAAAGATTTGTTCTCTAAGAACAGTTTTCTGTTTTCTAAATTCATAAGAACTATTTCAAAATTACAAATCAAGCATATCAATTTCTCTAAAAATGCTCTTAAAAGAGTTAAATACTCTTTAACCAGCTAAACGCTGCTCATCCTCCAAAGTAAAAGTAACATTGGAAAAGTCAATTCAAATAGACATGCATTTATGATAAAACAAAATTACACACATCAATGAATGGAATTTTTTTCTCACCCTAAACCCTATTTCTTAAAAAAAAAAAAAAAACTACTATTAGAAAGACTCAAGGAGAGTAGACACAATGGAGGAGCACCAACAGCTATTTCAACAAGGCTGTGTTGTTTCCCTCTGACAACATGACCATTTACTTTGTGTTGTGCTCCAAGCCTCCAACCAAGTTAATTGGCACGCTGGAAGATTTCCAACGGATATAGATATCCCACCAGGTTGTGATGATGTTTCCCTTGGACTGCCAGTTCCTTTTGTTATTGCAGCCCAGCTATCAGCTGAAGGTGGATACTTTTCATATGGTCCGATTATAGTTTATGGTTGCTGATTATGTCTCTGCTAATTTCTGGCTTTGAGTTCAAGTACTCAAGGTTTACAAGTTGATTTCTGTTTCATTGTGTGGCAATGGCTTCTGTCTTTGCCCTTTTGTTATTGTAAAAGCTCCTGTAGCTCTGTGGTCTTTGTTGTACAGTTTTTCTTTATTTATAAAAGCTTACTCATTCAACGAAAAAAAAAAAAACACACTGCTCAGCCTCCAAAGTCAAAAACAACATTGGAAAAGTCAATCCAAATTACCATGTGTCTGTCACACACCAATTATGAATCTCATGAATGAATTTTTTTTCACTTGACGTCTATAAAATGAGTTATATTACAAGAAGTCAAATCTACAATAATCTAGGTTTTTTTTTCAATCATTTCCAACATCAACATATATCTAATGCTTTAAAATTTTGAAATCTTGGAGGATATTAAAGTCAACTTATTATTTTCTTTTAGTGTTTCATATAGTTTAGGGTTTTGAATAAAATTTCTACAATTTAGATGTGACTATGATGCTTTCATTTTACTCAATGCTAAATAAGTTTCAAATGTTTTTCTATATTATTCTTTCTATATTTGTTCAATAAGAAATTTTAATATAACAACATTATGCCATCTGAAATAAATGTCTGTATTGTTGCTCTAGTACTGAACGAAATTGTGAAATAATAAGAATTTAGGCTCATTTTGTTTATTTTTCATTAAAAAAGTTTGAACATTTTGATTCTACCAAAAAATAAATAAAAATTGAAGGTTTACATTTTTTATATTAGAAAGAAAGCAGCTCATCTCATTTTTTTACAATTTGCTGGAATCTAAATTTCACAACAATAATATTGACTGACATAAATTGGTGATAGAATTATTTTTGGCATATGCATCCCATCCCTACTTATTCAGATTTCATTTTTTACATATTTTGGATTATATAAGACTAATACGATAAAAAAAAAAAAAATTATATGATTTCTAAATTTTTCAAATTTTAATTTGGCCCCCAAAATCAAAATTCCTGGCTCCGCCGTGTATAAACCCAAACATGTCACTAATTCCAATGATGCATAAATTTCAATATTAGAGAGGGTAGGCAAAAACAGTATTATGGCAAGGAAAAAAGACGTTGGAGCAAATTTGTTAAGAAAATTAGAACAGGTATCATATTTTATTAAGAAACTCTAAGCTAGGATGCATATGAAAAAATTGATATTAGCAAAGAGAGATGAAACATCAAGTGAATAAGTCAATAATGATCAGAAACTGGGTGATACAGCACCCATCGGCCATCAGAGTAAACAAATTAAGCATAAAGAGTATGGTGTTTAAAATTTTGGAAAGTTGGATGATAACCGCCTCCAAGGGCGGATTTAGCATTTCTGAATAGGGTGGGCTAACTTTATATTGGGCTAATTTGGGATGGACTACCATTACTATTTTTATTTTTATTATTATTTATTTATTTATTTATTATTTTTTTTTGGGGCTGGGCTTAAAATAGTATGATAAATTTTTATTTATTTATTTATTTTTTTTGGGGTGGGCTGATGCCCACCTCCGCCCACCTAGATCCGCCTTTGCCTGCCTCCATTACCAGGAAATGTAACAATAATTATTGAGTTAAAAACTAGGACTTGAGCAAGCCAAGAAACAAAAAAATTTCCGGTGTAATTTTTGTCTTCAATGTAGCATATGTACTTCAGTAGTCATTCACCAAACATGCCAATTCAAAATCTCTAGCAGTCTAAATCAAAGCAAAACTTGAAACAAATTCGTATGCTTCCTATCAAACTACCTCCATAAGGTCAATTAGTGAATTCGTGTTTTGGGACTAATATATTACTCTTGCCAAGAAGAAATTGTTTACCAGTTTCAACTTCTCAACTGACAGAGAATCAACATTAAAATATAGCAGCCATAAAACGTGGATTCATCCAAGAAAAATAAAATTGAACCTAAATTAATGTCTTGACTGTTATCAAACTACCACCAAAAAGGCCAAAACTATCATTACTCCATATCAGCTTTACTTCAATTAGCTCCATCAGCCTCCTTGACCTCCTTCTTCCCAAGGAAGACGTAAGTGAGGACTGCCTTTGACTGTAAAGAACCCTTCAACAATTTCAACCCCTAAAAATGGAAAAAAGAAAAAACAATCAAAGAAAGAATTTTCTTGTT